CCCCGGTGCCAGCGGCCGGTGGGTGCTCTCAGGAACAGGGTCCTCCCTCGGCTCCAGGGGCTTGGTGTGGAGATAAATGGGTGACGCCTGCGGGACCCCGTCGGGGAGAGCACAGGGGGTTAAAAAAAAAATTACCAGGGTTTTCCAGTCTCTCTCTACTGTTATCTAGAGCAATACCCCCAAGAATTTTTCCCCAATTCAAGTAAAACCAAAATAAAGCCACTTTCCTGCCAAAGTAACTTCTGTTTGCTCTTAATTTTTTACCGTAAGCCAGCAAAATTAAACGCTAGATACTAATTCTGAGGGGAAAAAAGGATCCACCGAGGAGCTTAATCCATCAGCTACCTGCCCTAAATCCACCCCCTCAGCTCCTTCAGCTGTATTTTTCCCCCACCCTGGGGGTGCCAAACCCTCCCGCGCATCCCAGGGGGCAGCTAATTAGGATTAGCTGCTGCATATTAATTCCCTGCTCCCATGTCAAAGCAGGGGCACGGCCGGGAGCAGCAGTGTATCTTCTGCCAGTGGTTTCAGCTTCATCCCACTCCTCCGTAGGACCAAGTAAATAAGGAAAAGGAAGCAGAGGAGCTGGGGGTAGCAGGGAAAGGGGGTCTCCAAGCCAGCGGCCCCATCCCAGCCGGCTCCATCCCAGCCGGCTCCATCCCAGCCCTTCCCGGCTCCAGCGGGAGCAATCCCATTCATTTGGGCCATTTTATCTGGGAAGACCATTTAAGGGTGTTTTCTCTCCCTGCCCTGGGGCTGAGAGGGGAGCTGGGGGAAGGGATGTGCCTGAAGCCATCCGTTAATCTTTAGACAGAGACAGGAGGCTTTTTTTGTGTGCGCGGGTCTTGAGGGAGGTTCAGGGGTAGAATAAAGCCGCTCTCTTTCACTCTTTGCCATCAGGACCTGGCGCGCAAGCGGCCCGATACGATTTTATTCCAGCAGTTATTTAAAAAAAAAACAAACCAAAAACAACAAAGAAATTTTTCCTACCCCTCTCCCCCCAAAAGCAGAGATGCGAGGTGCATTTCCACCCCTGGTCAGCCACCCACGCCGGCCCCCGGGTGCCCCCCCAGCGCCGCGGGGTGACCCCGCTCCCGGAGAGCGGACGCAGGAGCGACACACGTGAGAAAGCGGAAAAAGTGAGATACAGAATGCGTCCCACAGGCACCATGGTCCAACGCACTGACTAACTCCAACTGCTGCTCCGAGCGGGTTCCTCCTTCCCCTCGCCACCGCCCCAGCCCTGCGCAGAAAAAATTTCCCCGGCCGGATCCTGTCCCGCACCCCAGCCCGGGTAAAGGCAGCAAGGGACACCACGG